AACTGATCCAAACCGCTGTCCAGAACTTGAAATAAGAACCTTCATGGGGCAGGTCACAAACCTTATGGGGGCTGGAGGGTAAGCCCTAAGTAAGGCCTTTTAATAAGGCCTTTTAAAAAAAGGCCTTAATAGGGGCTTAATAAGGGCTCCCTCCCTCCCCCCTCCCTCCCCCCCCAGCCCCCATGAAAACCAAAGCCCTTTGTTCTTGCAATCATTTTGCCCCAACCGAGCCCCGATGGCTCACAAGACCAACTGCCCATATGAGTCTGGCCCCCCGATTTCACACATCAAACACATTCGATTCCAACCCCGGCACTCGCTTTAAGCCTCCCATGCTGCCTCTCGGAGAAATCAATGGGTCCCATCCCAAAGAAATGCAAATTGGCACCCGAACACAAAAGAGGAATCTCCTGGGGGACACCCAGTTTTGAAATCCATCCGAATCTGCAGAGTGTCCACCCTCATCATCCATCAAAAAGTTTGACCTCGAGCACACCCAAGGAAACGCGATAAACCCGGACCCTCCCGGGTTAGCTCGGGGAGGCAACTCCCCAAAGTTGAATTCAAACTCCTTCAGCCCCTGTCGCTCGCTTTTTCACAAGACCCACTCGCTCGGGCCCCAAAAACCAAAAGAACACCGAGAGGCCGTGGACCGCAAGAAATCTCCAACCGGGGGACCCGTCCCCACCGGGTCAAAATGTTTCGGGGTCCCCCCGTTGAATTTCAAGGACACCCGGAAACCGCGAAGACGTGGACCCCGAGGTCTTGGAGGTTCACAAGACCCACTCGCTCGGACCAAAAAACAAAAGAAGACAGGCCATTGACCTCAAAGGACACCCAGAAATCTGGGGACCCCCAAATTCCCCCAAAGGCCTGCAGCTGGAAGAGGAGCTTCATGTCCTCCGAGGACAACGCCTCGCAATCCTTCGGCCTCGTCAATCCGGATGTCGCGCGGCGCGCGGCGCGCGGGGCGGCGCCAAGGGCGGAAGGGCGGAAGGGCGGAAGTGGTTGGCTCGAAAAACGGGCGGGCGGTGGCGTCGAAAAAAAGCGGTGTAACCCCGAAATGGGTTGCCCGGTGGAAACACAGACAACCTGCGGTGACTGAAGTTGACCCAAAAATCCATTGGAGGGGCTCGGAATGGATAAGGCCAAGTCGGCTCAAAAGGGGCCCAGAATTAGTTTGCGTGTTGACTCCGCAAGGTCTCACAATGAGGCTTTTCCAAGAAGGAGACAAGCCGCTGAAAGGACGGAAACACGTGCCATGAATCTTTGCTGTCTCCAAACAATGCATCAGAACCCCAATCATGCCAGCCCCGCCTTGCTTCGACGGCCGCCATGTCCTGCAGCCGTCACCGCCGGAAAGATGCAGAGGGGGGGGGGGGGTCGAGGTATACAACCACCACGTGAAGAGCATGGCACGATTCTATACCTCGTGTTCAATGGGGGGGGTTGGGGTAGGGTTTTGGAGTAGTGGTTTTGGAGTAGTGGTTTTGGAGTAGTGGTTTTGGAGTAGTGGTTTTGGAGTAGTGGTTTTGGAGTAGTGTTCGAGTAGTGGTTTTGGAGTAGTGATTTTGGAGTAGTGGTTTTGGAGTAGTGGTTTTGGAGTAGTGGTTTTGGAGTAGTGGTTTTGGGGTAGTGGTTTGTTCGTATGGCCGTGATCATTTTCGAGTGTCTCAACTTCCTTCAGATGGCGGGCCCTCGCTTCATCAAAACCCCCGTTGAGATCCCAAAGTCGGCGGGTTGGCGTGAACCACAAGTGAGGCTCCTGCTCGTGTTCAGGATGTCAGGCTTTCAGAGATGCAGAAGTCAGCCCCTCCCAAAAGTGTGTTCCATGTTGGACCAAAGGGGGTCATCTTGTTGGACCAAAGGGGGTCATCTTGTTGGACCAAAGGGGGTCAGTGGTAGCCAATGCAATAGAGCTGCATTCGAGCCATATCTTCAGATCTCATCAAAGGAAGGACCATGGAACCCCCCAAAAGGGCCCAATTTAGAGGAAAATGGATAAAGGAAGGAGGTCTCCATTCCGAGATCATGGAACCCCCCAAAAGGGCCCAATTTAGAGGAAAATGGATGCAGCACCCTCTGTGTTCCATGATTGTCAGATTCCGCCCAGAACTCCAACTTTGAATAAATGAAGCCCGCCCGCGAACTCATCGACCGTGCGCAGGTAACCGCCCACGGAACAAGCGCCAAGGATAGCCGACACCAGGGAAAAGACTGATCAACTGCGTGCAAGCCTCACTTCACCAGCAGGTGAAAGAAACTCAAGAAACTCCAGCAGGTGAAAGAAACTCCAGGTGAAAGAAACACCAGCTGTGTTCATCCACCCCAACACAAACAAAAAGGAAGCCGACGCGCAAAACAAAAACCACTTCCCCGCGGGCGAGCAGCTCGCCCTCGAAAAGTGAACCGCGCTGCCCACTGGTTGCCCCTTGGGTCCCCTGCAGTGGGGTAGGGGGAGCGGGGCAGGGGGTTTTTGAAGCAAAGATGTAAAGAAGTTATGCAGCTACCCCCGTAACCTCCGAATACCCGCCTTTTTGGGTATGATTTGTCGACCCTCTACTAAGAAAGGAGGTATTTACCATGGAAAGCCAGGTTCTTCCAAAAATACCAACTACAAAAAAGTGGGAATTTGGAGTAGGGGGTAAGAGTCTCTGATGCGTCAGTCATTGGTGTTTCCCTTCATCAAAACTCGCCGCTCACTCACTTTCTGCAGCTCCTCGCCCGGCGAGACGCGCAGGCTAAGCCTCCGCCGGCGAGCCAAGGTCGGGGAGGTTGAGGCCAAGGGCTGCCTTTTTGCCCTCGCACGGTTTGCCCAACTGGGAGAAACCTCGGCAACCACTTTGCTGTCGACCCCTCTGCAAAAAGTGTAACTCCTTGCGGGTCTAATGGGGGAAGAAAAAAGAACTGATTTCAACCAAAAAGTTGTCCAGTCTAAAGATACCCTGTGGCACTCAAGAACAGTGGGCCAACCCTTGGGGCTCGGAGAGGCAGCCAAGAGGGCACCCGCCAGGAACCAGAAGTGCATCGGCCTCCAAAAACGGGAGCGCCTGGGTCAATCAGGTCAGACCCAATCCACATGCCTCAAAGCTTCCTTTTTGAGCGGTGACACATTGATGGGTTTGACAATGGCAAACCCCAAAAAGTGTCGGTTGTTCTTTTGGTTTATGTTGGCTTCTTTTGGCCTTTTTTTGGTTTTTTGGGGGTTCTCTTGGGTGTCTCTTGATTTATGTTGCTTGATTTTGCGTTATTTGTGTTTCCTTTTCGGCCGGTTCAAAGAAGGAGTGCCGTCAAAAAAAGACACACCCATATGATTGCTTCAGGAATGAGAGCCGCACACCTCTGCAAGTGTCTCCCGGTCTGCAACACTCAAACTCGGCGGATTCCTTGGAGGAACTTCCCCCAAGGGCCAGGGATCCCCCGTAAAACGAGAAAAGAACTGCTCTCGATCAAGCAGGTTCTCAATCCTCGGTTCGTGCCTTGTGAGGTGCTGTTTGCCAGGGTAACCCGCTAAACCCCTGTAGATCAGCGAAGGTCCAAAGATCAGGGAAGATGCGGATATGTCCAGAGAGACCATCTGTCAAGTTGCTTTCCACACAGTTTGGCCACAACAAAGAAGAAAGAAAACCAGACACCCCTTGCATGCCTCTCTAGCCCAGACCTCCTGTGTCCGGCCTGAGCCGAATCTGCGGCACCTGTCGCAACGAGCGCAAACCCAAACCCAGCGGCCACATAGCTTGCCAGAGATGGGGTGGGGGGATGGAGGTGTTTGATTTTTGCTTGTTTCATGGTCGAAGAACTGGTCAATAAGAAATGGCCGGAAGGAATCCTGTGCCAAGGAGGAGTAGACGAAGGATTGAAGTCAGTGGACTTGGTTTTAAAGCGGCCTGGCTCGAGCGACGCCGTGCAGCCGTAAAACCGGCGGATGCTCCAGGTTTTCCCGAATCCGTCTGACTTTGCCAGCAGATCAGGCATCCAAGAACTTCCAGAAACGCAGAGACCTAGGCATGCAACTAAAGCCCCGCCCGCAAGCGCCAAGAAAACAGCAGACACTCTCAACATGGCCCCCAGAACAGTCCAAATCATATTTTCTGCACAACAATGACCGACCCAAAAACTACAAAGTCCAGAATCTGAGTGAGTTACACGCCGGTGCACCAGGATATCCTCACTAGAAACAGGGGATCCTTACATTATGCGCCTGAACATTGCAAATTGTAAATGCTGGTTTCAACCTTTATTTTTTGGTGTGGAAAAAGCAACATGTTTCAAATGGTTGCAACATGGTCACATCTTTTCAGGAGCCCTGTTCTACCAACACAACAAAAGTCGGTGTGTCTTTCTTTCAGGGCACCCCATTTGCGGCTGATGACCTGAGAAACCATTTGCAAGCCCTGAGAAAACCCCACCTCCGGCGCCGTGCGTGTCTCCGGCCTGTATGCTCTCCGACAGCCAACTGCCGGGCTGCCTCGGCTCAGACTCGAGGACCGGTGGCTCCAGCAGCGGAGACCCAGTGGCTTGGGTGCGCCGTGTTGTCGTGTTCAACTTGGTTGCTGCAACGACCCCCCTGCAAAAACTGTTTCTCACTTTTTCAGGGCCTAGTGGAAAACACATTTATTTCAACCAAAAAGTTGAAGTCTAAAGATCCAAGCCAATAGCAGTCAAGGTTCGACACAATTGTCCAAGTGGGTGTGGGTCAAACATAGGTACCCAGAATGGAACCCTGGGAACTGGAAACAAATACTAAAACCTGCCGTCCATATCCTGGTGATTTAGTTTGACCCACAAGTGTCCGACACGGAAGCGGCGCTCCGTTAAAAAAAAAAAAAAAAAAAAAAAAAAAAAAAAAAAAAAAAAAAAAAAACACGCAATGAGAGCTCCGAGCTCCGAGCTTCCGACTCTTTTCCAGCCAGAGAAACATACATCTCCAGACGGCGGGAGGCTTGCGCACATCGCAAAGGCAGAAGGCTTCAAAATGAAAACTTGAGGGTTGGAGTCTCTCAGTCCATGCTGGTGTGCTCCGAGTTCCAGAAAACCCCCTGGTGCGACGCATTTTGCGGCCAAGGGAGCGGGGTGGCTTCCAGAACCTGCTGCTTGTTTGACTCAGGCACGGTGAGGATCCCCGTGTTCATATAGACCCACTCCTGGGTCAGGTCTCCTGTGGTCAAATCCACGGTGATGCTCTCATTGGCATAGGTCTCACCGTGGGTGAGATTGTAGCCAGCACCGCAGCCGCCCGCGGTCTCATCCTTGCACTTCGCAGAGATATAGGTGGCCAATAGCTCCGCTCCAGTCACCTGGATCTTGAAATACCCATTGAAGCCCAGTTTCTGCGTCTTGTGACCCTTGTCCGGAATCTTCTGGAACAATCGCTGGTCATAGGCCTTGAGCTTGTGCTCCTTGTGGCGCGCGGGCTTCGGCGTGATCTTATACCGATGCCCATCCGGCCGTGGAAGGCATGGGACTTGAAGCCATGGGACCTCAGCTTCAGCTTCTCGTGGGCGAAGCGGCGAAGCGGTGCTCGTGCCCGAAGAACCAAAACCAAACCGTCCGACCGGGGAGGAGGTCTTGGAGCTGCTTAGCTGCGCCCAAATAGGCATGCTCGAAGTCGCTGGGGTAGTGATGCGTCAGCACGATCCCGCGCTTGTCGCTTGGTGAGCGATCCAAGCCTCACAGTCTCGTTCACTGCACCTGCTCTGGGGTGAGTGGGGCACTCGTCTCAATCCCAAGCTTGCGAGCGAAATTTGGAGCAGGGCCCAAGGGCATGCACGAAGCGCCGGTGTCCAGAGCAATGAACCGCCAATGGTCACTGAACCATGCACCGAAGTTCGCCTTCTGCCCAGAGTAGGAATAGCCCTGCTCAACTAGCCCGTTCATCCCATCGATCTGCTCGTGGTTGCCAGGCATCAAGAAGGTGGTGTGGGACCCCTTGGGCCACTGAACTCCCTTCTGCCCTCGAGAAGCAGGTGGGTCAATGCCCATGACATTGTGCCGGTAGTCCTCAGCATCCCCAACCAAGTAGACATCGCCCAAATGGATCGTGAGATGCGGCTGCTCCTGTGACAGCAGCGTGGCCACCACCATGGACTCCCCCGTGCCGCTGCCCCAATCTGCAGCAGCCCCGATCACCACGTTCTCAGCAGGATTGCCCTGCAAGGAGCTCAACGAGACGCCGGACGCCAAGTCGAAAATCCCGGTCTGAGGCGGATCGAGCGCCGCATAGGTGGGGTACGGAGTGACCAAGGGCTTCAGCACAGCCGCTTCCTTATTCCGGGCCTTGAAGGTCTGCGCAATCTTCCCGGCATAGTTGCTCATTGAGGCTGGGAATGAGGCTCCCCAGCATTGATTCTCCGAAGTGACCACCAGGCAAGTGCTCTTGTCATCTGTGATAGTGACACAAGACCGGCTCTCTGGGCACCAACCGCAAACCTCATAGTCCTTCAGGCCATGGCAGCAGGCCGAGCATTGCGCGGCCACATCATCTTGCTCCACGTGTTGCCGCCTGGCACGCTTTTGCAGAAGCTCTACAGATCCACACTCGTGACAATCTTCAGCCAGATCTGCTAGCAAAGGCAAGAACAGCGCGAGCCAGCACAACCACAGCATGTAGCTAAGCGCTAGTCAGATGGATGACAAAAGCGTGTGTATGTGTCTTGAGCCAGTGGGGGCAACTTTTGGCCCAACAGGACACAGAACCCTTGGTCAACTCTGAGTGGAACTCTTGTTGCGTCGGGCAAGCCGACCGCACTGCAGTCTGGGCGCCCCCACTCTGCCCGAGGCTGACCTTACATCAAAGCAATGCCGAACAGGATGTTGGTCATGTGAACAGGTTCCTGGTCGATTGTCATGAAATGAACCTCGGTTGCTTTCTGCTCCCCTGCCAAAAGTTTAACTTTTAGTCGGCAACAAGTTACAGTCCTAACATCCAAGCAAAATGCACCAAAGGAAAGTAAGCAGTGTCATCTGCGTAAAACCCTCGATACACGAGTCATTTAGAATTGTGTTCCCATGTTCCTGTTCCCAAGTTCCCATTGTACTACAGGGATTGACAAAGGAAGCATGAACTCATATTGTTAGTAATTGACAATGGCAAGCCTTTCTTCACAAAAAAACTGACAAGGAGCTGATTTGCCGAAACCTGGCTTTCCACTGTCATTCACCCCAACCAAGCAAACCTCCGCATTTGACCAACTTCAGTCTCTAGTGTTCTCGAACACAAAATTTTGCCCACCAAACCACCGCCCACACAACCCATTCATGTTGATTGAGTCATTGAAGGTCGGCAACCAAGCCAAACCAGCACCTCCCAGCAACGCCTGTGCGTAAGAACCACTCAGCATACCCGACCAAAAGTCCAAGGCAGGCCACGCCGAGCTCTGGTGGTTCTTCAGTCCCCGTTTGGCTGGCTGGGCAGGGCTAACCAAAAGAAGGAAACCCAAAAGAAGGAAACCAAAAAGGGAAACGAGTTGTGACACACACACACACACACCATGTGCTAACTGGCTGTTCCTCGCTTTCGGCCACTTGAGACCTCCGAAAGGTTTTCTGAGGTTCCTACACAACTGCCGTGCGGAGGCGTAGGCTGCCTGAAGGCACGGGGATCAGGGGAGGGTTGGGGTGGCGTGGGTACGGAGGGTAAGGAAACCGAAACCCTATGGAAACCAACCCCATGGCAACCGACCCTATGGAAATCCTATGGAAACCACCCCAATACACGGATTTTGCGAATTCGAAGGGGGCAAATGAGTAGAATCTGCACGAAACAACCCGAGTAAAGGCTAAATAAGGCGCCTGACAGTGATTGGAGTACGAGCGTGTCGGACAAATCTGGCTGTTCTCCCTTCTTTCCAGGGATATGCCTCTCAGGAAATTGCAAACAAAGTTGATCCCTATTCTTTTCACTTACTTTTCAGACACCATAAGTCAGGATTTCCTTCATTTCCATTTTTGGAACCTCCAAAAGTGTCAGTTTCAATGGAAACCATCAGCAAATTGCCGAATCCTTCTGAAGTGGAAATCCAGTGGCCTCTGTTCTCATTCCCTGTACAAGCCGTTCAAAAGCGCAAACTTTGGGAAACACCCTGTTTGGGATAGTGTTTGGAAGCTCAAAAGGTTGATAGAACTCGGATTCATTTGGAAAGCGCTCTCAGATCCAGATTCGTTCAGACTGGTTGGACCCCTTTCCCCTTCCAATTCACAGCTCCAGTGTTCACACACATGCATGTCCATATATATATATATATATACATATATATATATATGTATATATAAATGTAGAGAGGGAGAGAGACACATGTTGGGTTGTTTGTTGTTCACCAACTGCCTGCGAGGTTTCATGTGTTTACTTCTGGTTTTCGCCAGCTTCCCAAGTCGCAACTTTCACAGGGTCGAGACGATGGAGTTTGCGATGGTTCAAAGGGAAACCAAAACAATGGCAAACCCTCGATAAAATCAAGTTGATTAATCGACAGTTGCCTTCACTGCCTGGGAAACTCCAATGGGTCTGCTAAAAACGCCCCAGAAGGCGTCCGGAAGATCTAGATTCCTTATATTATATAATATTCATCAGATCTCTTTGAAGTTGTCTAGGTGCGGAAGGGGTTGAGCCATTCAATGAAGCACACTGCGCAAAGGTTTCGGATCCTTGACCCGAAAAGATTCGGATTCCTCAGCCTGGAATGGTCCCTGTGTGAATGTTCATGAGGGTAGTAGGCGTGGTATGCACTTCAAAACCTCGCTCTAAGCAACGTCTTGCTCCAATGCTTTCAGCGCCGTATGCGCCGCAAAACCAGATTACAAGCTCAGTTTTGCTCGTGCACCTGGCTGCTGTCTCCGCCAGCTCTTGAAACACCCCAGGTCACAACAGCCCCAGATTCAAGAATGGCAGCGAAAGCCCGGTCAGCTGCTTGGATGTGCTGGACGTTCTGCAGCTGCTCTTGCACCTGACTGCTGTCTCCACCATATCTTGGATCACCCCAGCTCACAACAGCCCCAGATTCAAGAATGGCAGCAAAAGCTCCGTTATTTGCTTGGATGTGCTGGACGTTCCTCAGCTGCTCTTGCACCTGGCTGCTGTCTCCGCCGTATTTTGGAGTACCCCAGGTCACAACAGCCCCAGATTCAAGAATTGCAGCAAAAGCCCAGCCATTTGCTTGAATGTGCTGGACATTCCTCAGTTGCTCTTGCACCTGGCTGCTGTCTCCGCCTTGTTCTGGAGAACCCCAGGTCACTACAGCCCCAGATTCAAGAATGGCAGCAAAAGCACCATTCGCAGCTGCTTGGATGTGCTGGACGTTCCTGAGCTGCTCTTGCACCCGGCTGCTGTCTCCGCCCCAGTCTCGATCACCCCAGGTCACAACAGCCCCAGATTCAAGAATGGCAGCAAAAGCCCAGCCAGTTGCTTGAATGTGCTGGACACTCCTCAGTTGCTCTTGCACCTTTCTGCTGTCTCCGCCCCAGACTGGATTACCCCAGGTCACAAGAGCCCCAGATTCAAGAATGGCAGCAAAAGCCCAGCCAGTTGCTTCAATGTGCTGGACATTCCTCAGTTGCTCTTGCACCTGGCTGCTGTCTCCGCCATATCCTGGATCACCCCAGCTCACAACAGCCCCAGATTCAAGAATGGCAGCAAAAGCACGCCGAGTTGCTTGAATGTGCTGGACGTTCCTCAGCTGCTCTTGCACCTGCCTGCTGTCTCCGCCATGGGCTGGATCACCCCAGGTCACAACAGCCCCAGATTCAAGAATTGCAGCAAAAGCCCAGCCATTTGCTTGAATGTGCTGGACATTCCTCAGTTGCTCTTGCACCTGGCTGCTGTCTCCGCCTTGTTCTGGAGTACCACAACAGCCCCAGATTCAAGAATTGCAGCAAAAGCCCAGCCAGTTGCTTGAATGTGCTGGACATTCCTCAGTTGCTCTTGCACCTGGCTGCTGTCTCCGCCTTGTTCTGGAGTACCCCAGGCCACAACCTCGCCCCAGTGCCAAGCAAACGCCTTACGGGTGGCAGCCAGTTTGCCAAGCTGCAGAACCGCAAACACCACGTCTCCATCTCGCAACCCAGACTCATGCAGCGTGGAAGTCAAATCAAGCCGCTGGCCTTTCGCAGTGAGCTTCAAGCGGCGCTGGAAATGCTGCTGCGCTGCAGCTTTCAGTTCGCTGATTGGCCTTTTTGCTGGGAGTGAGATGGAGCAACCATCTCCGCTAGGCAAGTGCACATCCACCTTCATGGCGCAAAAAGGTTCTTTTGGCCTTTTCCTCAAAATGGCCAGACACGAATCTGAGACAGAAAACGTGTAATTGAACACCCCTGTTTGTTTGTTTTTTGGAGTTAAAGACAGAAAACGTGAAATTGAACACCCCTGGGTGTTTTTTTTTTGCGTTAAAGAGGGGAATTGCCATGGTTCAATTCCTCTCGGACACGCTGCAAAAGCCGATCCTTCATGGGCCCGCTAGGTGTGGTATGTCGAGTCCGTATTTTTCACGTGGCCAAGTACAACCAAAAATGGGCTCCCGACAAAATGTTAATAAACAAAAACAAAAAAGAAAACGAACACAGACAAAATCACCAACAAAAAAAAACAAGCCAGAGTCCCGCGCCCCATCAAAACTCAGAGACAAAAGAAAAAACTAACCTCATTATTCTACCATGATCAAAGTCACCCCCTAAGTGGTGGGTTAAAGGGAAACAACCCCATGTACTGACTTTGATAACCCCCGGAAACCGTCAAAATAATAACCCCTGAAAAACACAGAGGAAAAGCATAGAAAGGGAAGAAGAAAAATAGAACCCCCCAAAAAAAAAGAACTCCACCTTCCTCGCCCAAGCCCCGCCCCACGCCCGCCTCATAGGCCTCCATGCGCGCAAAGCGCCCCAGGCGCGGCGCGGCCGGCTCCAGCCCCAGCGCCAGCGTCGCCTGCGGCGGATTTTTTTTTTTTTTTTTTCGAGTCCGAGGGCCGAGCTGCTTCGACCCATTTTCAGACACCAAATGGCTGTTGCTCAAAATTAAAGAGCTAGGGTTACGCAGGTTTTAGTCTTTGGTTCCATTTGCCAAGAGGGCCATTGTGGTACATGTTTTTGAGCCACAACCAAATGAGTCACAAACAATCGTCTCTCTCTTTTGTGGCAACCTTGTGTTGGTGGGATCGAAAGGAAACCAACCCACCGATTTTGGGGTACCCCCTATTTCGAGATAACCCGAAATGAGTCACTTGCTCAAAACCCGGTATTAAAATGGTCGACCCAGAACCATGCTTCAAGAATTAAGAAGGCGGATATCCGCAGCGATTTATGGCAAGGGGATTGTCCCTTACTAACCTTCATCTACTCGGGTTTTGATTGTGGCTCAAATGGTCCGCGCTGACCTACAGCCCAAGAAAAATGTCAATGGCTCCTCGCCTTTTGGAGTTGGTGCCCTTGGTTGGTAGGTTGTTTTTGGGAAAACCAAGAGGCAAACCACCCTTTTTGGGGGGGTTCAAAAAAAGACGAAAACCCACGTGCGACAATGGACCACCCAACTTTGGTGTCGGCGGGCAGGGAAAACCGGATCCGCAAAGGCCACCTGACTGAAAACTTCCGCCACGACCCTCAGACCCCAAACTCCAAGCGAA